GGCACCGCGGGGCCAAACAATTGCACAATGCTCGGTCAGCCACTTCAAGCATCGCGTGGCCAAGAACGACGCTGGCGATGTACCATACGTCAAAGTGAGAAGCTCGTATGCCACGACGTTAGAAGTGTACTTGTCGCGCCAGAGAATGCGCTGATAATTAGTTTGCGACGGATGCACCATGACTTGGCGGTACATCTTTACAATGTCGGCCGATAGTGCGAACCGCCATGTTCGGAATCGCACTAAGATAGTGAACAAATCCTGCTGAATGGTAGGGCCGACCATGAGGGTATCATTCAAGGAGACGCCCATTGCGTCCTTGGCTGAAGCATCGAAGACGACGCGAAATTTACCAGAAGCCGGTGTCTTGGTAATGCTGTGATGAGGTAAGTAGAAGGACTCTGAAGCATCGCTGGCATCGTCGCCAATTCGCTTCATGTGGCCCAACGCACTGTATTCATTTATGAACTGTGAGTACCGCTCTTTTAATTCTGGATAACGGTTAAGTCTTTTTTCAGTGCCTCGAAGCCGCTTCAAAGCGATATCCCTAACGCCGACGAAAGCAGGAGGCGTAGGCTCCTTGAAGGGCAACTTAACCACAAATCTACCTTGCTCGTTACGGGAGAGATTCTGCACGAAATGCTGCTCGCAAAGTGCCTCCTCGGCACTGTGAACGCCGGGGGACTCCGCAATATTTTCTTGCTCCCAAAAACGCGATAGCTGATTATGCAATTGTACGTTGCTAATTGAGGTGTGAAATGACTGTATACTCGATGATGACCCTGACGGTACATGTGACCGACCGGCCAAGATCCATCCGAATCTCGTTTTTTGTAATGTGGGGCACGCAGGCGACGACCTCATCTGCCCGACACACATCAAATTCCAAAAATGCTCTGCGCCAATCAAAACATCAATTTCCGATGAGACGTTAAACTGAGGATCAGCCAATTCGAGATTCTGAGGAATCTCAAATGCGCTTCTTTTGATCGAAACGGCAGGAAGTTTACCTGTCACATGTTCTGTGACGATGCAGTCTAATGGAAGGCAAAACGAACTTGTGCGTGAATGTAACCTTATGCTAGCTGCATGGAATGATCGCGAAGCGGTGTTATTTATACCCGAGATAGAAACGTCTAATGAACGCGTTCTAGCATTGATTGAGTTTATAAACCGCCGCGAGACGAAATTAGTTTGAGAGCCGGTGTCCAGTAATACACGACAGGACTTTCGACGACCCTTATCGTCATAAGTGAAAGCGATTGCTGTAGAGAGCATCACACCGTTGTGACCGGTGGCCGTGGTGCTACTCATGACAACGGTAGAGGAACCGCTGGCCGATGCCGTTTCGTGGTCGGCACGACCTTGTTCAGCGGGCGCGGTAGGCTGCACCGACGCCGCGACTGGTATGTGTAGCAATGTGTTGTGCTTGCCTTTACAAATTTTGCAACTGCCTGAAGGGCATTTATTAGCGACATGATCCGTCGCCTTTAAGCAATTGACACAAACCTTGCGTTTTTTAATCTCTGAAATCCTCCGCGGGACGGGCAGTGCTAGAAACCCCTCGCAATGGTACACGAGATGCTCGGATTTACAAAACATGCACTTCGTCTTTATGGACGCCACGCCGGAATGAGTCTTTGAATTCGCTTGCGATTGCGCTCGCGTATTTACATTTTTTGCCTTACTAGTGGCTTCGAGCGTTATACAACGATGAGCGATGAAATCCGTAAATTGTTTTAACGTCGGTAACTCGGTGTCGTTCAATGACAGCTGCCACTCTCTCGAGGTAAGCGCATCTAGCTTGGAGCTTAAAATGTACACTAACAAATCGTCCCAATGCGATGTGGGGCGATTAAGTGCTCGTAGGGCATGTATGTGCCTGTTGGCGCCATTTGCGATCTGACGCAGTTCGGAGATATTCTCCTTTGCCATGGAGGGCAATTCCATAATGGCTTTTATGTGACTTTGAATAATAGCGCGCCTATTGTCGTAGCGATCCTTCAAGAGCGACCACGCTACTGGATAGTTTGCTTCTGAAATTTCTAACGCGCTGATTATCTGGGCCGCATCTCCGGTGAGAGAAGCCCTTAGATATTGCAATTTCTGAATGTCGCTTAATGAAGCGTTTACATGAATGAGCGAATTGAAGCTGTCAAAGAAGGGACACCATTCGTCATATTTCCCGGAAAACTTTGGTAATTCTAATTTCGGTAGCCTTATATGACTAAAATTGTGCGTGGCCGCACTACCGGAAAACGATGGCGAAGACGAAGCCGTGACACGCGACGCCGCTATTGGATTGAGCATTTCGCGCATGCGCGCAGACAACTCGTAATATGAATCCTCGAACGCGACGCGGTGTGACGCCTCAGATTCATCACATTCCTCTATTTTCGCTTGCACGGCATCGTAATCCGACCAATAAGCGTCGAGCTTAGATCGGCGCTCCTCGAGCTGCGCCGCGATGGACGGCGTCACGGAAGTCACGGACCCCGCGAACGTGCGTATCCGCGTGCATGCCGCGAGAATTGCGCCGCGCCTGCGCTTGAGCGAACCGGCATCGACGACGTCATTGGTTGCCATGACGAGAGCGAATGGAAGTTGTTAGGCCTTAAAGAATGAGCTTGATCGACACCGACACTGAGATAGTTACCCCTACCTTACAATTTCTCGTATGCGAATAGCCGCGCGAAGATGCAGGATGTCGATGATGTGTCGAACCGTCCTTCCTTCCTTCCCTCCTTCCTTCTGGCAGGAAGCGATGCTGCCGGAAGTGACCCGTAGAGGCAAGATGGCGGTGAAATCCGCCGCCTCATAAAGATGGCTGTTGCCCGTTGAATGAATGTATGGCCGCTGATGCTGCCCGTCAGAATCGATGGCCGCCGCTGCTGTTGCGAACGGCAGATGCCGATTACTGACTGAAACTTCCTTGCGGACCCCGATGGGCCGCTGATGTGGCGGTTGCTTGGCTGCTGCGCAACCGGGGTGGAATGCGCGGTCCGCGCCGACAACGACGAGTCTCGATCCACCAACCTGCACTTGCGGTGGCGGTGAGGATTGCCAGGACTATCCGGCTCGAAGGACCAAAATGTTAATGATGTGAGAGTGGCCGATAACGCCTGCGAGTTACTGCAGCGTTAGGCCCCACGCGTTTTCCCGGGATAATGCACAAACGGGAAGCGTGGTCGAGAAACACGAGTTCCTCTACAATTAAAGAAGTCGCTTGATGCGATAATCTTCGCTCGCGATGCACTGACACTCGCGAGGAGGGCTTTCAAATGAAACGCCACTACTTTTCTATTACTCGAGACTTTATTAGATCGCTGTTGTCGTTGCCGGATGCACAATGTATACCGCACTCAATTCCGCCGTTACAGTTCGCCAGTAAGGAAGTAAGTAAGTAAGTGAAAATCGGAAAAGGAAGAAGAAGCGCGACGGTATCCGAAGCCGCGAAGGGGGGGAGCCGAAGGCCCGCGAGAGCGTCATGCACGCTCCGAAATTACCGGCAACGGCAGCCGGTCGAATTGCTTGACCAATCTCGACATGGCCGGGCATACTTTACGCGCCAACCAGTAGAATACTGAACAACGATAGCAAGGTATCGTCTATTTGACGTCATTAATTAGTCATTTTTATGACGAATCTGATGTTTAAAATGACGTTTGAACATCGTAAAATTGACGTTATTTCTCATTGAGTTAAATTAAGGTTATATATCACACAACATATATATATCTTGAGTAAATAAGTAAAATCATAATATTATTTATATAATTTATCAAGAAATTATTATATAAACATTATAAACAATCATTTTCTTACAATATAATATATGTATCACGTTATCATGTACCGGTTTATTAATTAATATACGTATCTAATTAAATCTTTCACAATTTACGAGCAGACTACCTGTAGCTTTGTCGATCGTCTATCTTGAACACGTGGCTGACGTGACAAGTCTTAAAAAGTATTATTAAGCCTATTGCAAACAGGACGCATCTGCACCATTAATCGTTATATATGTGTAAGAGTTTGCAAGAGACACGTAATATCGCAATAGCCAATTAAATTTTTTGATTTGGAAGAGTCAGGAGTGCATTTTAAAAAGTTCAGTTTTATTAGGCCCCCTGACGTCTAAACATCGTAAAAATAACATGGATTTTTACATTTCATAAGAGTCACGCACAACGTCATAAACCGACATCGAAAATATGTCGTTATTTTCGTGTTATTAACGGAATAAATATATGACGTTATTAATTAATCATTAATAACGTTACTAATACGTCGACGATTGGCCATTTATTCGACGGCATCAAGTATGACGTCTTTAAGACGTCATAAATAAATGACGTCATTAATTGGTCAAAAAAATATGACGTCATTATTACATCTTAAATAGGTCACATGACGTCAATAATTTAAAATGACTAACTATCGACGTCAAAATGACGACAGCTTGCTACCTGGAGCATTTTATATAGTGAGCGTCACGTATACTATGTATATAGGGGAATGCGCGCATATGCGTGAAACGGAACGCAGCCTATATATGTATATTTTATATACTATCAGTTTTTTCCTTTCTTTAAAAAAAAGAGCTCTCTTATGAGCTGTTTTTATTTCCCTTTTTAATGGACTGCGGATCCGCTTCCACATTTATCGCTTCCAGCTATGCGTTAGAGGCCATTGGTATTTTCCTGATTAGCATTTACGAGATGAGAAAAATTTGTTCGAATTCTTAAAGAAAATTTCCGATGATTTCGCAAATGTCATCGAAAATTGCGACGGCAATTAGATATCTCTGAAAGGAAAGAATCGTGGAGTCTTCAGGACGTAACAATAACATGCACAACTAATTATAAGTAGGCAAATGCTTCTTCAGTTTGATCTAAATTTTGATGCTTAAAAATATATTAATTTTGCATATTATTATTGTATAAGGACTATTGTAATAGCTTTGATTTTTTTTTTATTTTTATCAATTGTTTTAGCCAATATACGTTACTTTAACGGAGCTACATGTGTACATCGATATTTCTCAATTACCGTACGAATTAGCAGGTAACAAGGCATACAATCACATCGAATGGATTAATAAACGTATGGTAAATTGAACATTATTAATCACGTACAAATTAAATGTAAATAATATGATAATTTGTTAACAACTTGATATATTTATTTTTTTCTAGAAAATGGAAGATTATTCAAGAGATGCATTAGAGTTTGTATCGAAGATGACAAATTTACATCAAAGATTGAATATTTTTGATGGTATTCGCATAACGCAATCGGATAATGTAAAGTCTTATTGGGAAATGGGCATAGAATTGTTATCAACGGCACGTCATGTACTTCAATCAGGTCTATACATTTTCATCTATTAGATTTTTTTACGATTAAAAATATATTTTATAAAGAAATGAATATAAAAAGGTTGAATATAAATTTGTAATCGGTATACTAATAAAAATTTAATTATTTTAAGCAACAGTGTCTCTTATCTAAAAATAATGGAAAATGTTAAATTACATTTATTTAGGTAGAAATCTAGTAAGTTCTATGAGTAGAGAGTCTTCTAAAGATATTTTGGATACCATTAAAGGAATTCATAAGCTACTCGATTCTATTGAATTAAAGCAGGTTATTTAATCACATTTACGACTGGCATATTTAAATTTATTTTTTATATATTTATTTTTAATACAATGTTCTTTTATCATTTGTAGATAGACATTGAAAATTCGTGTACAGAGTTGGAACGAAATCTGGATACTGCTAGAGTAATCGAAAGTCTAGAACGGGGAGTGTCAAGCGTTACTGATTGGATCTTGGGTCCAGCGGACATAATGCTAAATTCCTGTTGTCAGGTTGGTTTCGATGTTTCATCATCCGAGGAGCTCCGAAGGCAGCACGAAAAAATTGAGCTTCAATGCAGGGTAAATAATGAGTAAAACTTTATAATTTTTTTTCGATCTATTGTTATATATGATATACTTTTAAAATATTTTATATAATTTTTGAAAATGACCCGATTGGAGTCGAAACGTTTGTTTTAGTTATTTTGTATATCATGATTTATTAAATTCCCATTAAATTTGTTTGTTTAACTATTTGGCTCTTTGCCCTATTTTTATTTATACTATTTATAATTATTATTTTGTTTTAAAAAGTATTACATAAAATATAATTTTAATGTATTTATAGGAGACCTATGGACAATACGCAAAGCTGCTTCATAAAATTGACAATCTACCTAAAAGTAAACTACCAGAAGATTTAAAATCTCAAAGAGATTTCATGGATTTTGTTTGTCGTAGCTTTGCTTCACGGCTCGAAAGACGTAGAAATGTATTAATCACTTCGCAAAGGTTCTTTAGATTCGTTTCTGAGGTAAAAATCTATCTTTAATAATAAACTATAAAATAAATTGAGCTCTCAAGATTTAAAAACCATAATAATAAATGTGAAATAAATTAGTAGGCAATTGAGAGATAAGGATAAACGCGGTTATTCATGCGTAATTAATAAATATATTTAATTAAAGACGCTCTTAATTCGCAAACTGGACTAAAACTGGACAAAATTAATACATTAAATTTTAGACCACAATCTAGACAAATTTGTACGCTGGAAGCAAAAAATTCCAAACTCTTATCACTGCGAACAGCAAAGCTATTGCTGTTCGACGCTTGCCGCTTGCTACGTGCTATCTGAACTTTAACTTTAATTTGGTAAATTTTCGTTATCGGAGGTAACAAAAGTAAAACTCCTCGTGTGATCTTAATAAAATTTTCACTTTTCAAATTAGCAAAAACAACACTTTGCGAGCAGATTTAGAAAATTTTTTTGCATGAGATAAACATTTTTTAAATATCCAAATATAAATATATTGTGCATTGAATAACGTACGTTTTTAAAACGTTCATACTAACAATAAGTCCATGGATATTTGGACCAGATTGAAACCAAGTCTGAATGTCCAATGGATGTCCTGTTCTGTCTGTATTAGTTATCTCTGACAATGAGAATAATTTTCTTCCTTTGCGTTATGTAGGATCAGAGTTTGCAGCTGGTGAGTTTCTTTGATTAATTTTATAAATTTTTTAATTTGAAACTAATTTTGGTAAATGTGTCGATGAGGGGACCCCCCTCCAATGACTTTGACCTTGACATATGTTGTCAAGGTCATTACCCTGAGTAACCTCCAACAGGTTTTAGCCGTCGCTCGTCCTTCGTTAAAAAGTTATTAACAATCATACTTTTAAAATAAACGTATTATTTCTGCTATACATGTATGATATGAAGTACTAATCTACACCTTTCCCTGTTCAGAAACGTTGAACTTTCCACGCGAAGTAACTTTCACCCCCTCCCCCTCCCCTGCACAGAGGCACACGACTTCTACGATTGTACTGTTGCTATGATAGTACTGTCGGGGCAGACATCTGTCGACCAGTGTTGTGCATAGATGATTTTAAAATTAGCTAGATAAAGATAAGATGAAAATTTGGAAATTTATCTTAGATAAGATAAAGATGATTACATTTAAATTAATCTAGATAATATAGATAAATTTATCTGACAATTCATCTAAAAAATTCCAGATAATTTTTTATTTTTAAGACTATTTATAAATTAAGAATCAGTTTTTTCTCAAAATAATTAAAAAATCACGGTGGTCCTCGATTGAATTCAACCCTGACTTTCCTGCACCTCTGATTTTCCTTCTGGAATTGGTTTTGGAACATTTCAGGACCATTTTGCAATAAATATTAAAATCGAAGAGTGAGCACTTTTTTTTAAATCGAGTTTTTAAGTTTTAATCCATAGTTTCAATATAATCATTTCAAGCGTACATGTGGAAGGTAATTAAGTACTGAACGAAATGTAATTATTGTATATATTTTCTTCGAATTAAATATATATGTAACAAATAGCAA